TATGATTTATATCTAAGAACTAATATTTTAATATTAGTGAACTAAATTCAACAATTTAAATAACAATGAAAGAAATATCTAAACTATACCTTTGAACTATATAATATTACTATTATTTGCATTTAATATGTAAAAAGATAACTAAAATCAAACTTAAATTATTTCATAAAGAGTAAGAAGATATATATGAGTTTGTTTAAAATTAGATACAAGATAAAAATTTAATAGTATCATATTACATAACTTTTTAGAAATAAAAGATTATAACAAATAAAAAACTAATAAATGGCTTTTTTATCTAGATATTAATAATTTATATAGATAAATTATATCCTAATATTTATTAACAGGAAGATTTTAATAGCTTGACCTAAATAATTTGTTAGATATTTAGATTATTTTACTGATTGTTAAATGAGGTAATACTTGAAAAGTAAAGTTAAAATATCTGGATCAATTTCATTCAATACATACTGAATACTCACTCTATTTAGAATGTTAAATAGATAAGTATAATAAGCTAAGTCTACATTAATAATAATTTAATTAATAAACTAAGTGATAGCAAATCTGCAGAAACACAACAATTGGTAGTAACATTAAAAACTAAAGAATTTATTATTGAAATCTTTAATAATATTTTGAACTAAGAATGGAACTTGAATATATTTATTAAATACTAAAATTTAATCAATCTTCTTGGCTAAAACTATATATTATAGTAAATACAATTTAACTTCATGACACAAAAAATGCTTTTAAAAAAGGTTTATAAAAATTAATGAATAATACGGTATTCAAAAAAAACTATAAAAATATCTAGTATTACACATAAGTAAATTTAGTATAACTAATAGAAGAAGAATATTAACTTTACAAAATTAAGTTTCTTGATTTTTAATTTTTTAATAATTTACTGATTAATTAATGCTATTTTTTGAGTTAAAAGTTGACTTAAAGGAGTTTTTCTTGAAAGTAGAATATAAACTAGTTATAATGTTTTAAGAAATTCAATAAAAAAGGATTTTTAATGATTTGTTATAAAATTTCATAAATTATAAATACTTTAACAAATATATAATTATTTCTTTAATTTTTTTTTTTAATTAATCTTATGTATTCTATAAAATTTAAAACTTTTAATTAAGTTTTCTTTGGTTAAATTTTTTTATATTTTTGATGTTAAATTTATATTTTTTTATTATTATTTCATTTTTAATAATATGAGTTATTAAATGATTAAAAAAAAAAAGTCTTAAACTTTAGATGATACTTTTAAACATAAATTTGTTAAATACTCTTTACATATTTTTAATAATTTCTTATACTAATATTTTTTACAATAAGTACAGGTAGCATTATAATATCCTTTAAAATTTATTGATTTTGTGTAATATGTATTTCCTATATTATAGATTTTGGTTTTTCATTTTGCATTTTTTGTATTAAGTTGAAAAAAACATTCTTATTTAAGTAAAAACATGAGATTGTTGATCCAATTTTATGAAAACCTCTTTTTTAATATATTATATTATCACATTGTAAATTTCTTTTAAAAATAAATTATTTAAATTATCTAAATATAAAAAAATCAAAAATTAAAGTTTTTAAAAAAAAAATAATTAATTAATTACAGTTAAACTATTTTAGATAAATAATATTATATTTTAATTTTATTGAATTAATTTATTTAGATAAAAATATTCTTGGTTAAAATCATATAAATTATAATTTCAGATATATTAGTTAGTATTAAAAGACTAAAATATTTCAGAATAATATCAGATTTTTGCCTAAATTATAAAATTTATAAACAAATTTCATATTAGCTTTCAAAATCTAAAATATTTAGAATTTAAAAATAGGATTTCATTTATAGCATTAAACTAATACCTTAAGTTTTGGTGAAATAGCCTTTAAATTATCTGAAAGTGAGTTAAGTAGCTCTAGTGATTCAGAAAGTGAAAAAAAATATAAAGTCAAAGTTACAAAAAAAAGTAACTTCTAATTTCAAAGACTTTAATAAGCATAAGAAATCATCTAGCAGAAATCATCTTTTTTAGGTTTACAAACTATTAAAAAGGATAGTAAAGTTCTAAATCATTTTAAAATTCTTACAAATAATAATATTTTAAATGGATTTTTTGCTATTTTATGATCAACAGTTGATTCTTTTATTTGCATTTAACTTAGAGAAGTTTCTATTAATTCATATAATATATTTTTATGCTAAATGCATTATATTGAAAGATCCTATTCTAAATCATTTTATTTCAAATTTCTTAGACAAGAAATGTGAAAAGTTTTGAAATAGAATTACTATAGTATTACAAAATCTTATAACTAATATCAGATTTAATTTGAATTGCTTCTTAACAAATAAATCTATTACAAAATGTCTAGCAACAAGTTGCTTCACAATTACTACAAAATACCCAAGTAGAACAGCAACCTTTATAAATGAATCAGCTTCAAATAATCAACTAACTATTAATTCATCTGCAAAATATTTCATAGCCAAATCCTATGGAAATTAATTTTTATTCATAAAATTATTCCTAATGATATTGTAACTATTACTTGCCAAATTATTTTACCATTAGGAAAAACTGTTCAAATATCTGATGCATTAATAGATAGCAGAGCAAATTGCTCTCTTAAACCAAAAGGTCTTGCAAAACAATTATCTTTTACATTTTTACACTTTCTTACCTATAATTTACATTCATTTTCATCAAAATATCTGTTAGGCTGTCTCCAATATCAAGGTACAAAAGAAATAATTTGATCATTAAGAGTAATAATCTTTAAATCTTTATCAAATATAACATCTTCCAACTCTTTATACTTGATTCTTTTAAATTCTTCTTATCATTTTGAGTTGGGTAACTTGCCAATCTTCTTATCTTTCTCGATTATAGATTTATCTAAGGTGGAAATACATACTACTTTTAATTCAGAGACACGAGAATTATACTGGTTTTCTAACTTTTGATTAAAAGAATACGTCGCCTGTTTCATATCCATAAAGTATTTATTATATTCATTCTCTAAACGAATCTTAAGAGCATCATATTCATCTTTTAACTGTTTACATTTAGCTGGGATTCAATAGTTTTCTTAATATATTTTCCTCTATTTCAGCAATACTTCTCGCTCCTCTAACTGTTTCTCAAATCCATCTAGTCGGGACAAAGTACTGGGACCATTTGGAGTAGCATTAGCATCTACTTTAATACGTTAGCGATCTTTTTTCTTGTAGTATCTATTAACCTCCTTCGTAAGCAATTCCTCAATATCTGGATGGATTCCGCCAGCCTGTTCCTCAGACAGTGGATTATATTTACGGTTTGTAAGGCGTAATCATACATCTTTTTTATAGATGGAGGCAAATGCTCGAGCAAATCATTATAATGATCATTGAAATGCGGTTGGCTGATCATAGAAGATTAATTGGGCTGAAAAGATATCACTGTTTTGGAAAATTCCTGAGAAATTAGGAAATACGAAAATTCAAGGAAGTCCATCTCATCCTAGAAGTTTGAGTATTCTGGCAAAAATTCCGCCTAGAGATTAGTCAAAAATTTGCCGAGGTCTAGATTCTGGGAAAAAAATACCGATATTATTCTTGGAAAATTAACCTAAGGTGCAGTACATGTTGCTTTCATAGAAGCAAGGACTTTTTCCATCTCATGCATTTTGCGTCTTCATTTTATTAATACCATGACGCAAATGCTGATTGACTTTAACCCGCTCTGCATGAATCGGTCAAAAGGTTCTCTATTATATTTAAGCAATTGCTGTGAAAGACGCCAAGTTCATATTTAACCCGGTCTTCGATTTCCCGCTTCATGATTGCAGGCAATATCATCAGTATCTGTAACATAAGAAATAGGCGATGTTAAAGATGTGTGACATTCAGGCCAACTTTGAGGGCGAAGTTTTTTCCGATCCATAGTTTTGCGACTCCGATCTAAAGATTTCTGGTAAATCTCTAATTTATGACGCAAATATTCTTTTATCCGATCACATTTCTCTGAAATTTGTTCTTGAGGAATTGGTTTGTGAGAATGATGCAGGATCCTTTGATAAGCCCTATCTTTTATGCCTTTCAGAAGTTTATCAATAATACACTTATAATCGGAATGGACAGTTATTTTGCGCGCCCGGCTTCTCACAAGTTCAAAACCAGAAAAAAAATATATACATATTATGCTAGAATTATGAATGATATAGAAATTAGATAAAATGCTAATTGCGTAAGTTAACAATATATTAGCCTTTTTAATTTGCTCCAAGAAATCGATACCTTCTGTTTGAGCTGCTTTATCCAAAGAATCAATTTGTATTGCTTTATAGAGAAACTACTAATCTCTGTCTGCATTCCGGTACCCATACTATAAACAAAAGCCTTCGACTTTTTTCCTGTTCATAAACAATTAATTTATGGCGCAAATATTGCTCAATCCGATCACTTTTTTCTGCAATTTCTTCTGGTAAAACAGGATTGCGCTTTATATTAAGTAATTGATCAAAAGCTCTTTTGACTAGACTTGGTGGCATTTTATCTATAATAAGCTTATAATCAGGATGGAAAGTGGGTATAAGTCAATCTCTTCGATGCCTGCCATTTGGTAACGAATTTATTTTATCTGCGTAATGTTCTAGTGTTTGAACGAAGTATAAAATTTGCAACATCCCTCGATCGGTTAGGTATAAATAAAGAAATAAAGATGTATGCGGATAAAGTTTATTTTTGAGCCAAAAACGAATTGTGCACGATGATCAAATAATTATAATATATTACACATACTCCTTATAAGTACATATGTAAAAAAAATGTATGCCGAAATATGAGCGAAGCTTTATTAATAATTATGTTCGAAATCAGTCACATTATATGACTCGTGGCGCAGTAAATGATTATACTTTATTACATAATTTACACAATAATGTTACATTATTTATACTCTTTTGCATGTTGAATTTGCTAGAGAATTTCAGGGAAGGGAATTTACGAGATTAGTTAATCTAGCCTCATCTGTTTCGTCTAAAAATTTAAATCCTTGATTTGGCAAATGTACGAAGAAAAATTGACCAAGGACATCAGTTCCAATTAGAGAACAGTCAACTTGATTTCCAGGTTTTGCTTGCCAAACTCTAAGATTATCTATACCTACCCACTTACTCCATCCATTATTGTCTCCAATGGAAACTTCAAATGTTGTTGATGCATATATAACATTAGCAGGGTATCCATATCCGACAGCTTTCAAGCTTACATTTCTCCACCCAGTGCTCTACGGACATGATACGGAAGGGTCGTTTCTGGTGCACCTGAATCCATAACAGTTTTATACAATTTATTTCCTTCAGCAGGATCATTAAAATTATACTCGAGTATGGCATAATTAGTTGTTCCTGATTGTCTAATTCGAATCCTAAGCTTTATTATAAATAAACAAATGACAAAATAAGTTTATTTAATTACATTTATTTTTACACTGATCGGTACTGATATGGGAACTGATTGGTACTGATATGGCACTTATTTGCAACAATAATCAGTATTTCAGACCAGGTGTTCTTGATTAACATGTCGAGCAGACACTGTTCTTGCTGATGGAGACTTTACAAGATCATCACGACGCGATTTATCAACCGGTAAATATATTGCTCCAGGCATTTCTTCATCGAGATCCATCAGTTCCTTGTTCGTATATTCCGGCCCATATTTCTTCACTTGCTGTTTATACACCAATACCCATTCGTCTTTGTGCCCATCAAATGATCCCTTATCGATATTATCATAAAAGAAGATGAGATTGAATCCCGTTTCATCATCAAATTCCAAGGCAGATTCCTCGTCAGCCAAGAAAAAGAAAACCATAGCTCTGTTCGGATCATCTATCGAAGCGGGCCACCTGAAATCATGTCCCACACGATCTACAATGGCATTATTAGAAAGAATCTCAAAACGACTACTTATTCAAGAAAGTTTCAGCCTTACCCAGAAATTTTTGCGCTTGCCCCGGTTCTGTTTCATACTTACGAAGAGACTCAATTGTCTCAGGATGGGACATTTCAGTCATTGTCGAATTTAACACTTTAGGCGAATTGGATGCTGTATCTTTAAATATTTATTAGAATGAAATCATCATTTAATGAATTGAATATTTTACAATGAAAAGCATGAACCTCTCTTTCCGATGGACTTCAAAAACTTGGGTATCTTAAATAACTTTCTTCCTGTAGATATAAGTTAATAACAGAAAAAAAGTTTAGATTTAATGCAGTGGTATGTACTTACTTTTCTTTTTGTCATTAAGTTTCGAATCAGTTGTCGCAAAAGTGGACATATGGATGAAAACTAGTGAAAGAAAGGATTAGTATAGAAAAATAAGAAAAATAAATTTATTTTTTTGGTGTAAAATTTGGAAAATTTTTTTATATGGAATCTATCGAATCGATCAAGTTTTTATGGGTCTGTTCTCAAATTTTTACAATAAAAAAATTTATGATAAAATGAAATTTTTTAAAACGAGGTTATGTGTAATACGATCTTACAAATATACGGATTAATGTTGATCACAAAAGCAGATCATTTAAGATAACATTAAAATTTTATTATTATTATAATTATTTATATTAGAAAAAAAAGGATTTAATAAAATTTTAAAAAACTATTAATCATTTCATTAAAAGAATTATGATTATTGGAAAAATATGGTTCCTTTCAAAGCACATTTAGCTTTCCATAACAATTTTCTTTTCTTTCAATTATCTATAATTGTTTATAAACTACCAAGAGATTGAAAAATGAACGATTTCTCATGTACTCTTGAAAAAATTTATACCATTAGCCAATCTAACTAGAGGAATTTTTCTATTCATAAAAGACTTTGAATAACACGAGAAGAAAGATCAAATATTATCAGAAATCTTGTGATAACTGTCATATATAAAACTAAAGTTTGTCTTACAATTTTAAAATCATTTGCATATCTTAAAAAATGTTATTAGCATCACTATAAAATATATTAAGCTCTATTTAATCAATTTATCATTAAATGTATATATTCAACTCAAAGTATAGTTACTTGAAACGTGACAAGAATATGAAAAGTAATTTTATTATCAGTAATGTGGGTCTTATCAATTGTCTATTAGTATAGAAAATACTTTTTAATTTTATTTTTCCTAAAATATTCTAATGATTATTCATTAACTGTTAGAATTATTTTCATCAATATAGAAAAAAAGTAAGTCATAAATTCTAACCCATTTTTTTTGTTGTCTCTTAAATACCATTTCAATATTCCAGCAAGATGATTGAATAATATATGAGTAATTTTCAGAGGAAAAGCATGTTGATCAAAATAAGAAGTGTATTCTTATAAGAAGCTTTTCCAGTGTCTCAAATTTAATGTACTTAAATCAATGAAAAAATATGAAGAAATAAAAGAGGTTTAGTGATGTTATATACATCACCATGCATATAATTCAAGACTCATTAGTATTAGATTTTTAAAAGGCAAAAATAACATCTTTTATCAGAGACTTTAATAACAAAAAGCAAATTTTAGCAGACTCTATATTAATTTTAGAAGCAAAAGTTTAAGTCATAAAAATTTTATTAAACAATAGTAAAATTATAAGAGATAATTAAAAGGTACATAAAAATAATAAAAAAAAATTAAAAAAATAAAAAAAATATATCAAAAGAAAATAACTTAAGAGCTATTACAAGTCTTTAACTGCAAAAGCGTATAAATAAACAATATGTTAACAAACTAAAATGTGCGATAGCTCTTAAACTAAAAAGTTAGTAATTTAATAATAAAAAAAAAAACTGCAATAAGAAAAATAAAATTGTTTGCTTCTCTTGTATAAAATAATTTATTCTATTTCTTAGTTTAATTTATTATTTTTAATAAAAAACTGAGTGACTTGATCCAAAGTTGCTAAAAGAAGTTTTCGTTGACAGTAGTTTTCTACTTTTAAGATATCAAAATATTGTTAACAGAAAATTTTTTACCTTATGATCATTTATTATACTTAATATTTAATTATGTCAAATCTAATTTTATTTTTACCAAACTAATAATACAATTTATTTAATAAATAATACTCAAAAACTCAATTTTTAAGAATCTACAATTAAAAATAAATTTACAAATTTTGATTTATAAATGTTAATTTTATCGGTTATATTTATTAATTATTATTATTATTATAAATAAATACATTTATAATGAAAGATCTTTTAATAAAAATTAATAACTTTTTTTAGTATATTTATTTTAAAGGCAATTTAAAAAAATTTGTAATTGGCATTGTTAAAATTTAAATTATGTGTTAATTATTTATTATTATTTATTAATTATTTATTTTTTATTTTTCGTATTTTAATTATAATATAATATTTAATTTTTTATAATATGAAAATACATTTATTTGTTATATTAAGAAGTATTGATTTTTATTTATTTTTGAGTATTATATAGGGAAAGAAGAAAAGACGATAAATAATTTTTTATATTTTATTTTATATATATATATTTTTTGTATAATATGATTTATTTTATATCTTTTGTATATTATTATTATTATTATTATTATTACAACTTTTTATATATAATAATATTACCAATATATATATGTATATATATATATATATATTATATATCTCTCTCTTTTTATTAAACATAAATAATATATTATTACATTTTTTATTAATTTTTACTTTATAGTAACTATATATAATTTATAAATTTTATTTAATTAATTTACAAATTTTTAAAATTATAATCCAAAAACGGTTTTACACTTAATTACTTATATCAGACTGAGTTAGTATAATCAGAAAATATTTAAAATCGTCTATTTCTATATTTAAATAAAAATATAAAGAATGTATATGAGTAATTTTTACAGTTTATTACTTCCTAAGGAACAGCCAAAACTAATAGACCACTTAAAAATGCTTTAGATTTTTTAGGATATATTATATAGTAAGTACCACTAAAATATATTAGCAGTACATTAGTGAGGGGTTAAGAAGTTATTATATAGTCAATAATAAAGGATGATTTATAATAAATTACTCTACATCATGTTATTTTTACTAAAGTCAATATTATTTAAAAGATTATTTGCTTTAATCTATAAAAATTACTATATAATACTTCTTTTATTATCAGTTTTATCTATATTAGAAATGGACTTTTCTTGCATTTATTTTAAATTTTAATATCTTGACATGAAAAGATCTTCATTTTATTCTCAGTAATGGCTATTAAAGAAGTCTTTCTATTCTTTAGAATCTTCTTTCATTAAAATAGAAGTCTTGTCTTAAATATATCGTTGTACTCTATTTTTAAAATGAAAAATATAAGAATAAAAAATATGTTTGAATAGTAGATAATATAGTAGTACATAAAAATATATAGAAGAAAATATGTGTAAAATAAGATGCATTAATGTAAAAACTCAAGTTCCATTTTAGTTACAAAGATATTGGCTTTATAAGTAGAAAAACCTCTCTTTTCATAAAACTTCAAGAAGCTCTTAAAACATTATTTTAGTTATAATAAAGTAATGTCTTAACTAAATTCATATATAGAAATGGTAAACCTTCATAGTTAAAATATACTGTTAAACCCCTATACTTCACTAACAAATCACTTTCACATTTCACGAAATAAAATATATTATTTCTTCACTTACTTATTAATATTTGGATATGCTTCTACTTAAAATCTGTTGAGAGTTTCTTATTGCTAATTGCAAAAGTTATATTGGTATTGAGAGAATATCAGCTGCGTTACAATTTACTTATGCTAAAAAAGTAGGAAAGAAAAGTATTTAGAATTTAAAAAAATATTTTAGTTGACAAAGAAGATTTAATTTTTCTGTAAAAAATTTTCACAATCATGAGAAATTTTTCCTACATAAAAATAAGCAAAAACTATTAGCTAATGATTATTGTATAGAATAAAATCCTATTAAACTGATGAAATTGATCAATAAAATATAAGTTCTTTCTTAAATAATGAGTTTAATACAAATAAAAAAAATGGAAAAATATTTCTCTTTAATACAAATAATTATACTTCTTGTATATTTCTTAATTGCAAACAGACTTTTTCACTTTATTGTAAATGAATAATTTAATTAATTATAGATAAAATTTTTCTTATGCAAATTTATTGTAAAAAAAATTGTACTTTTTTCAATCATATTTTAGATTAGAAATTATTGCATTTTTTGCATTATTATTAACAATGTAAAATATTAAAAATAAATATTATAAGTTTATTTTTTTAAACGATATTTTTCTATACTAGTTTTTTTTTTTTTAAGAAAAATTATCTTCCGATATCCTATTCATTAATAATTCTATTATTATATCTAATATTTTTTTTACACTATTATGTAACATTTGATATTTTTTAAAGTTTTTGTTTAAAGCATCTTCGAAAAAATTTGATGCTTAATAGAAATTTGCTACCTTGTGAAATTATCTTTGAAGTATATAGCAGGAAGTATTAGTCTCTAGTCATAGTAACAATATTATATAGATAATCAAAATTATTGTCATTATCTTACTTTTGTTTCTTCTTATTCATTTAAAATAAACTCTTAAGCTATTTTATATTTTCTCAATTGCATTTCACTGAGATTTATTCTTTATGATACAAATAAGATTCTCAGCATTCTGCAATAAAAGATATGATATTAATATATCCTTTTTTTAGTATAAAAAATATAAAGAAATTTGCAAGACAAGCTGTTTCAAAAAAAATTATTCTAATATCTTGATTATGAAATTAATTTGTCTAATACTTTCATTATTAATTAATTTGTATTTAAGTTTTATGCCAAGTTCTTTTCTTATTAAATCTCTTATAATATTGATTATAATATAAAGAATTATCACAATGTACTTATTGCGTATAGCTTTCAAGTAATTCATAATCAAAGATCTGTAATTTTTAACTAAAATTTCTGTCATATAATGCTTGAAGTGCTCGCTAGAGTCTTGTATTTTATAGATTAATAGAGAAAATAGTGAGATGATATCTGTGCCATTAGAGTCTGCCATATCTTGCTAATACTTCCTCTAAATTCTTATATAAAGAAAAGATTCTCAATTTTTTCACTATACATTCTTTAATGAAATCTACAAATCTCATCATAAGTCTCATTTTTATTCTGTAATATTTACTCTTCTTAAGAAAGTTCTGATTATTAAACTTTTATATTTTCTAAAATTTTGAAAGATGTATAACTAAGCTCTAAGTCTGATTCAATAAGTTCAACAATATTATATTTTTTATTTCTTCTACTAATGTGAATAACTCATTTTAACACTTCTATTTTTTTTAATAACTCACAAACATTTACCTTGCCAAAACAAATAATTTATTGTAAATTACATTTATTCAAAAATTAAGAATGCTTTAATGAATAAAGTAGCAATACTTCAAACTTTTATAACAGGCATGATAAATTTTTGTGATGATTAAGGATGAATTCTTACATGTGATAAAAGTACTTCTATGAAATTCTATAATTCAGGCAGAATTATGCAAAGATTAGCTAATATTACAATTTGTAAATTCTGATTAAACTTAATGTCAGTCAATATTATGATGATTACAAATCCTAAATTAAGCTAAAATTTTAATATAAATTTTATTAAGATATATTCTTTTTTGTATAAACTCACAATTATTAATCAAATCTGAGAAATTTACAGTAGTAAATTTTTATTAATAAAGTATATATATTAATGCCAAAAAATTATATATACTTTGTATTTCTGATATTTTATCTCTATTTTCTTATTCTAAAATTCTAAAAATATTTATAAAGTTGTATTTTTTATTAATAATATAATAATTAGGATCTATAGTTATTTTAATATGGTAGTCCAATTTGTATTATTAAGGACTATATGAGGCCTTTGCAATAGAAAGGGAGAAAACTCAAAAAAAAATAAAAAATGAGTTAATAATAAATCTGAACAAATTATAGTATTTAAAACATTTTTGGCTTATAAACTAAAATTTTAATTTTTTTGGAGTTTTCTCCCTTTCTATTGCAAAGACCCCATATAGCTTCACTGATATAATAATTTAAAAATAAGTATTTTTGTTACATAATCTAATTTTATATATAACTAGTTTTTTTAATATTTACTGAAAAAAATAATACACTAAAGAATAATATTTTTTGATACTTTCCTAATAATAGATAATTATATCTTTTATTTATCATAGCAATCTTTTTAACTTTATATAATTTATATTATTAATGAATGTAAGGATTTTTACTATTTGAAGAATAACACCTAAATACTTTATATAATCAGGTATATTATCATCTTTCATTATCTTTTTATTTAATTTGCTAATGATTTAAATAATTAAAATAACTAAAAATAAATTATTAATCACATAAATATAGTAATAATTAGGAGGCTAATAATTTAATAAATAAATAATAAACACATAATACTAATAATAAATACCAGTAGTATTTCATAATAAATTTCTAATATTTATTATAAATTATATAAATAAAAAATAAAATTCTTAAATATTAATAAATTATGATATATTATATTTTAAATTTTATTTTAATATTTAAAAATTACATAATTTTTAATTTTAATTTTACTTTTTAATTATTTAATAAAGTTAATTTTTATTTAAAGTTTAAAGATTTTTATAATAAAAAAAAATCAAATTTTATAAAATTAATATTAAAGATATTAATATTTAAAATTATGATAATACTAAAATAAAATTTATTATTTAATTAATTTAAAATATATAAATTTTTATTATTATAAAAAAATATTTATATATATAATTAAAAAAATTACAAAATTTCTTATTATAAATTATACTTTATGTAATAAACAATAATTATTATTATAAAATTTATTAAATAAATAATTAAATACAAAAAAAATTTTTTAAAATTCTAATATTAAATAGTAAATTAAATTTCCTATATAATAAAAAAATTAAGATTATTTTAATTTTTATAAATAAAATTTAATATTATAATATTAGTATTATTATTAAATTTAAAAGGTGATATATTAATTTTCTTTTATTAATGATAAAAAGTATTAAATTTAAAAAATTTTTAATTAAATAATATTTATAAATTAATAAATTAAAAATATGTTTTATATATAATTAAATAGATAATAAATATAAATTTTATATTTTTTTTATATTCTTATGAATTTTAATTTATTAAAAGAATTTTAAATAATTTATAAAAAAAAAAATATTAATAAAATTAATCTATATTTTAATTTTTAAATTATAAAAATAAATATTATATATTTAATAAAAAGGTATTTTTAAAATCATTAAAGATTTTAAAATTAATAGAAATTGATATTTAGCAAATTTTTTTTTGTAAAAACATAAAAGTTTAAAAATTTAAATTTAAATAAAAAAAAAGTTAATTATAAATATTTTATTTTTAAATATTTTATTATATTAATTTGCTTTAAATACATATAGTAATTAGTAAAAAAATGAAAATCCAAAATATTGCTAATTTTAATTATTAAATTAATTTTTGGATAATAAATCAAACTTTTTTTTTTTAATGTTTATACAAAAAATATATTTTTTTATTATAATTATTATATTTAAATTATATAAAAATTATATTAAAATATATAAATTATTAAAAAGTTTTAATATTTATAACTAATTAAATTGTGACTTTAGTTTTAACTAAATCAATATAAAAAATTTATAAGGTTATATTATTTAAGTATTAATTAAAGATATATTTATTATAAAATATGCAAAAAAAAGGTTTACAAAAAAAAGCAGATTAAAGGAAAATATAAATTTTTTTTTATAAGCTATTATTTAATAATATTAGAATAATTTTTTTTTAAAAAAAAAAATAATTTATAACAATAAAATGTATTGTTAATAATCAAATATATAAAATTTTCTAGAGAACATTCTGCATGTAAATGATTGATCATGATTAAATGCTTTAATGTTTTTAATATTTTATATTTGTTTTAAACACTTTTTTCTTTACATGTTTCTTATTATAATCATTATTCAATCAAAATTATATTGATAACATACGTAATATCCAACAATAATAATTACTTTAATTGATTTGATGTATTCAGGTTTAACATATTGAACTGAATCGGTACCAGGTTCGTGCAACTTCCAGGTTGTTTATTATTTTACCTGCCGTTTTCATCATAAAATGAGGTGATCATGTGATGATTTACAAGACATTGATCTTTAGATGTTGGACTAATCTAAATCACATAAGATAATAATCTAAAATAATCTATTGATAATATAAATATACACATACATGTATATAAATATATTAAATCTATTAATACACCGATTACAAATCAATTTTCCCAAACAATAATTTTTTAGTGTAGACAATAAAGATTTGAGGTCACATGGTCGCAATTTAAATTTCTTTCTGATAATGATAATTGTTTTCTCCACAAAAGAAAACGCTTATTTTAAAAAGACAAATATTTTTAAACACGGCGAAACGTTTCACGATAACAATTCCAACCTGTTTGGAATCCGGCCTAGACATTGTCAAATGACACATAACTTTAATATTACTCTTTACATAGAGAAGATTATCAGGCGAGAAAGCCTTCCCCCATTTCAATTATTACAAAGGGCATCATAAAGACTTTCAAACATGTAAAGAAAAAGAACTTGATAATATGATTGTTTAAAATTTATGTAGTTGTATCTTGGTTCATCAATCGGAGAAAAAAAGAAATTTATTCCGAGATGTATTAATGGTCCGTCCATTTTTTATTATGCATATTTGCATATTTCTGACATTTCAACAGTTTGAGAAAATATAAAGAAATGATGATTAAAAGAAATTCATAAACGAATGAAACTGACACATTAATATTATTCATGATAATTTTTTTCATCAAAACTGACACATTCAATTAAAAATTTATTTCATCGTTAAAACGTATACACCATATATTAATGTAAAATGTCCGTGAGTAATGCTATTAACGAAGTAGATTGGTGTTCCATATGATCAGGTGTTTTAAAGTTTGAAACAAATGCCATATTACCAAGCGAAGGGAAAAAATAAATTGACCTTTATTTGGATGATAAACAAAATAAAAAAAAAAAGGTCTTTATTAGTTCCGCTTATGAAAGAAAAAAAAAAAAAAAAAAAAAAAAAAAATGAACCTTTATTAGTTTTAGTAGGATTACCTTATACTTTGTAATCATTAAAAGGTCAAGAGAGAGTAATATTGCGCACAGCACAACATAAAAAATTTATTAACAACGGAGACCACATGGAAAAATTAAACTTTTTAATCAAAATTAATTTGGGTTCATTGTTTTATTAGATAGATTAAACCTAGTAATACATTAGCCATATATTGAAATGCTGCGCAAGTCATGCAATTTTGAAACGAGTATCCTTACAGGTGTTCATGTCACTTTTTTCACATACTAGTAGAATAAGAGAGAAAAAAACTTGAATTTTCCTTATCAAATGTTGTGTAATCGTTTCCAGACTTTGAGTATAACAAAATGAGATCTCACAATTAAAATCATTTTAACCAAAAAGAAAAGAAAAAAAAAAAAATTATCATCCTTCTTTGAGAAAATCTACTCTGAGATTTTCTTTTACTTTCTTTTATTTTCTTTTTTTTTTTATCTTTTTTTTTTTCCTTTTTCTTTTTTTAACATCTCGCGTGCTATACCTTTTTTTCATCGGATGTGCAATATACATACATGAGTTTATTATAATTAAATTTAAGGTATTTTTTTTTTTTTTTTTTTCTTTCTTTATTCAAAAATAGAACCCTTTTTTTTTAAAAAAAAAAAAAAATTTAAAGTTTTACCAAATAGGGTCGAAGATGCATCATTTCATCTTTCTAATTTCTCTAGAACATCTTTTTCAATTTATTCTCAATTTACCAACTGAACAAATCAATTCTTTTTTTCAATCATGAACTTATTAGTTAAGTTGTATCACCTCATTACTTGTTTATTCTAATGAATACCGGAATTTGAAGGTTTTTCGAGCAACAGAATTTACCATATTTCGTCTTATAGCAATGCCAAATTTCGTAAAGTGGCAAGATTTACATCGTACATGATTACTCTCCCCTTTGATATAGTGGAAACCATTCAACCCACTTACGATTGATTTCCGATCAAATAAATAAATACATTAATATTTTAATATACAGTATTATCATTTAAAAGATTTATATTGGGTAATCAACAAAGGAACTCTTTTTTTTTTTTTTTTTATAAAAAAAAAAAACTGTTGCCTTTATTCAAAATGAAACGTTGCAAAAAAAAAATTTATTATTTTTTTCTTTTTTTTAAAACGGTGACACGTTCGTTTTACGTCATTTATAAAGGATTCAACTTATATTACATATTATATTACATATAACCATTAATGTATATTGTTTAATCGACCTCTCCCGCAAATCCCCCCCAAATGGAGTAAAAAAAATATAAATATCGCCATTTTCATCCTTTTTTTCTTTTTTTTTTTTTTTTTTTCTTCAGAATTTGTCTCTCGAGATTAATTCTCTTTTATTGATCAAATTTGTAAAATTTGTAAATAGTTTTGTTTATATTTGTTTCATTTGAGATTATTTCCTTTTTTTTTTCACAAAAAAAAAAAAAAAAAAATGACTATCCCCACTAAACTAAAAAAATTTTTCGGAAAGTGTAAAAAACTCTCTTGCATAACAAAAATTACCAAGAACAAGAAAGAATCAAAAGAGTCCATCAAATCTTCTACCGTTACCATCACTAATACCATCACCAAGGTGAATAATGATGCAACTACACTTTCGGAGAAACAACTACTAGTCATTTTACCAAAGGAAAAGGAATTAGTTCGGTTAGATAAAAAATCTCCGCCGCCACCACCCCCGCAACCGCAACAACGACAGCAACTCGTTCTACCAAAAGAAAGGCAATCCACCCAATTAGACACAAAACCACATCAACAACAACAACAAAACCAACAACAGCATCAACAACAACAACAACAACAAGAACAAGAACAAGAACAGCATTATCATCATCATCAACATTCATCATTTGGTAAAAGATCTAGTATTAACAATATCTTCAATAAATCAAAGCTCATTCATCCAAGGTAATTATTAAAAATTTTCATCACAACAAAGAAAGGTTTCCCGTTTAGTTTTTTCTAACATGCATTTTTTTTTTCTCCTTTCCTAACTCTTTCAGTAGTTATGTTCATCAGGTTCCCATAAAATTAAACGTAGGAGGAATCATTTATATGACAACACAACAAACATTATGCACATACCCTTCTTATTTATCCGAATTATTTTTCATATTTCGTTCTCCAAACTCTCCCCCCACTTCGACCTATTCGCAATACCCATGGCCCGAAGAATTATTCATTGATAGAGATGGAGAACTTTTTATTCACATCCTAACCTTTTTAAGAAATGGCACTTTACCATACTCCACCCCATTAAGCATTTTACAAAAATTAGAATATGAAGCCAAATTTTATGGCATAAAACCGTTACAAACATTAATCTACCAACGTATACAAATACATTCCTCCTCTCCAAAGTTTAAAGTCATCCCTATTGAAAGATTGAGCGATGAAGAATGTGATTTGGAAGATGATGACGAGTTCACCACTAGTCCTAGGATTTGCCTAAAGAGATCAAATTTATCTTATTGTTCAACTACTTCCTCTTATGATATTCCTCAACAACAGGATGATGCGTCCATATATTCTTGTTCTTCCTCCGGGGATTCATCCGAAGAAGTTCCTATCATTTACAACCCTGGTAATACAACGTCCAACACTTGTAGCACAGTTACGCCCACCACTTATACTCGTACTCCAAAATCTTCCATTTCCACTTCAAATTTTACTATTCACAAAAATTTGTATCTATCTTCCGTTTCTGCTCAACATTATGACTACAAACCTGATTATGAGATTATTTCAATTACTAATGCTCCCACCATAAATGATTTGGAAAGTTTGGACCAATTTCATGTACCTGATGAAGAGCTTTACGCCAAAGATTTGGCTACTTTTGCTGTATTACAACGCAAAGATAAATAGTTAATGTAGACATAGAACACCTGTTTGTACATATCATATAAATACCAGAAAATAATTGTTGTTGAACTTTTGGTTGGTTTAAATGGACATTTTTTTCATATATATATTTTTCTTTCCTCTATTTCTTTTTTATACATAGACATTTTTTTTTCATCTTATTTTTTTCATTTATAAATAGATTACGTCGTACGTATAGAATTATTTTTTTTCTTTTTTTTTAAAAAATAATAATCGTAATTTTTAAGTAAACATTTTTCAAATCTTTTTTTTTTAAAAAAAAAAAAAAAAAAAAAAAAATAAAACAAAGTGATTTCTTTTTTTAATAATTTAATCTCTTCTTAATTCCTCTTTTTCTTAATTTCTTAATCTCTTCTTAATCTCTTAATATCTTCTTGACTTCTCTTATATCTCTTAACTACTATTCTCTTAAAATCTTCTTGACTTCTCTTATATCTCTATACTACTATTCTCTTAAATTCTATTCTATTAAATTCTTTAATATTATTCTCTTAAATTTTCTTATTTATATCTCTTGAATTCTCTAACTTTTATTCTCTTAAACTCTCTAACTTCTATTCTTTTAACTTAATTTAATCTTTTCTTAATCTTTAATAAATATAATTTAATTATAATTTTTGTACAAATGAAAAAAAAGGTTCCCTGTTGATAAATCATTTTGAATGTTTTTTTTTTTTTACGTTGAAAATCATTTGGACTTGAATTTTTTCGCTCAAAAGTAAAAACAGAATCATCGGGATTGTATTCTTCGTGTAACTTTGTAATAAATCCATTAACCTTTTAATTTCAAATTATAATGAATAATCTCCAAAAAATGAAAAAAGGGAAAAAAAATTAAATTCGAGATGCACATGAATGATAATTATTTGTGACACGGAAACTTTAATAAAAAATACAAGTGTGAAATCCTGAAATGGATCTTTTTTTTTTTTTTTTCGGATAGTTATCATCTTCATCATCTTCATCAATCATCAATTTTGAATTTTTGAGAAACCATTACGTTAAACTAATACAACACATTTAATTTGGAACGAATTAGGATATATTACGTCCCCAGGTTTTTCATTATTGAATATCTAAAGTGAATTGTATCAGCCTTAACGGAAATGTTCCTCCTAATCCAAAAGGATATTCCACAGAGAAAAATTTAGATTGAAGATCAATTTTTATTTTTGGAAACATTTTATCTATTTTATTTCTCAAAAAAAAAAAATATGTGGTTGGTCAAAATACCTTGGCAAAAAATAATGTCTTTCATTGTGAATAAAAATGGTTTGGAACCTTTAAAAAAAAAAGAGTAATCGTATTAAAAATTCCTGTTTCAGAAATTTTGTGTGACAATTAACATCACCTGCCACATCGTCAAAATCCATGACGTTATTTGTTGCACGAAAACCTTAAAAAACTTATTTTAATTTAAACTAATTTATTTATTTATTGATATAATATTATGTGGTTATTAAAATGGATTGGCAAAAAAATATTTTTTCGAATTCACGAGCACAAACCCTTTTAGTTCTTGTAAAGAAACTGGGATTACCTAAATTTACTTTTTCATTCATTAATAAAATAAAAAAAATTACTTTCATTGAAAAAATTCCTTTATCAACCTATTATTATAATGAAAGCTTATGAGGCAGTTAAACGAAAACTTGATCCTTCCTTTTTCGAATAAGGAATAATAAGAAATGTGATAATGAAGACAGGAAAAACCTGAAATGAATGAATAAAATTTAAGTGTGCTACACTAGGCAAAGACAATCAAATATTGAAAAAAAGAAATACTTCAAAGAACCATTTTTAGTACCTACAAGAAGTTAAATGAACTACCTAAAGAGTGAGATAAGACTATGGTGTAAATAAACATGACTCGAATTTTTTTGTACCACATTGGTGATAGGCTAAGCTATTATTTCCTTGTTCGGCAGAAATCATTAATTTTATTTTGTAAATCTCAACGTCCTTATTTTTATTTTTTTAAAAAAAGGTTAGTTCTTAATTTACTATTTGTATAACTGAGATTTCGTACACCCATGAAAAAAGAAGGTAGATATTCTACTTCCGCATACTGTTTTCCATGCAAGTTCCTTCATGATATTTTTGGGAATATCTAAGGAAGACTTCCAAATGTTCATTCGTGATATTTTCATAGTATGCTAGTTCCATATTGCTTTACAATTACGAAAATAATGCTTTTAGAACGTTCAGACTAAAGGACCAATTAGGTAAGATTTATGACATGGTACGACGCAGAAGATTTCCTTGTCAAAGGTAAAATTTCACCAGCCTCTATTTGGTTACTCACTTTCAACTGTCGACAATGGTGTAAAAAAGATGTATTAGAACAATTGGTCTACGAAATTCACATAAAAAATATATATATATATTTTTATCTCTAGGTTTTAAAAAAAAACTCTATTTAGAAAGCATAATTCCGCCGTTAATTTCCAAATTCTCTTTTTATATTTCCCATTCCCTGCTTTAAAAAATATTGAAAGCGGTTTCAAGTACAATATAATCCGGTAAGATCAATATTTTAATGTGAACCTTTACACTATACCAACTCTAAAAATGCATTTTAACAAATGTACAAGGCCTATAACATCAATAAAATCCAATATATTTGATGATCTCTTTTTTTCTTCTGTCAAAGATATACTCCAAAGTGACAAAGCTTAATCTGCTTTTGAGTGTAGATTATACAAGTATAAAGTTTGAAAAGGAACAACGATATTAAAGAAAGTGATCAATTAAAACTTGAACTATAAAATAAATATTACCACAAAAGAAATGAAAAGTGGTTACATGAAATAATTTTCTACAAGTCAATGGAGGCATGATTGAAATTTTCATTCCCCAAGATATTATTTATACTAAGAATCCATAGAAAATCGCGTGCTGCAAAACAAGATATATCCGATAATACTATAAATTCTTTGCGATGAGAAATGAATTTCTAACTTTAACAAAGATACCCCATATTATATTATCTTTTGATCAAAATTATACATCCAGTAAAACAAGAAAGTCTTCCACCAGATTTTTTATAAAACAGAAAAAGAAACTTTAATAAAAAAGGATAAATTTTCATTATAAAATATAAAACTATAGATAATCTTAAAATAAAATTCTATATTTAAGAAAAGTTATAATTTTTTTTCTTTTCTTTGATTATTAGTATTGAATAGAAAGCAATATAAATTCTATAGATAAGGCTATATTAATGAAGTTATTAAATTAAATTAAATAAATATAATTAATTATATTATAAGTTAAATATTTTATAAATTTTAATTAAAACTATAACTTTTTATTATTTAATATTATTAAGAATTTTAAGAATTTGATAAAATCTTAATGGTTAAAATTATAAATTAAATTAGTTTTTAATTACAAAACTAATAAATATTATATACTAAAATTAAACAATTTTATATATATATTTAATCAATTTTTTTATTAATTTATCAAATTGTTTAATTATTTTAATATTTAGTAAAAATTTGATTTTAAAGAAAAATAATTATTAAATTATAAGAGATAATTTATTAAAAATAAACTTATCAGAATTATATAAAATTATTATATAAAATTATAAAATTATAAAGCAATTTAATTGAATTATATAAACTAAACATTTTAATATAAATTAATATTAAATAAATCTAATATATAAGAAAAATGCAATAAAATCAGACAAAATAAACTGAAAATGGCTAGTGTAACTAAAAAATCAATTAATTTAACTAATAACATTTTGGTAAAACTTTATTTAATTTATAGCTGTAATTTATACACAAATATTTTAATAATATCTTAGATTTATTGTTATATAGTATAAATAAATGTAATTAGCATTCATATATAAAAGTAAAATAAATTTACATTCACTAAAAATAAAAATACTTATTATAATATACTTTCAAACTATACAAAATGACTATACATAGTTTCTAATTGAGAGTAAGATATTTGTACTATCTAAAAAAGCTTTTGTTTAATAAATATAGTTTTATTTTCTGATAAGAGTTTATATATAGATAAAAATAATAATTGATTTTATTTGTAAATATTTTTCTATAAAATTGTAAAAGCTTTTATACTTTTGCTCTTTCTTGCTTAATGTTCATTACTAAAAGTATTTTATATGTAATTTTGACTATTACATATTTCTTTTATATATTCAAAATAGCCAATAAACTATTATATAAAATGTAATAGTTAATAAACTCAATTGTATTAAAAAGAGTTTTACAAAATATAAGATAATCTTAAGTGATTCAAATTATATAAAAATATCAAATGATTTTTAGATATATTTAATTGATTAATTAAATTAGACAGTTTTAGATATTTTTAAATAAGTTTAAAATTGTCTAAAACTGTCTAAAATTTAATGGATTTTAGATAGTCTAAATTGGTTTTAAATAGTTTTAAAATGATTTAGATAGTCTGAAACCTTAAATTAAAAAAATAAATTATCAATAATTGATTAAAATAATATAATTTAATCATATAACATTCTTAATTTTATTTTCTAATAAATTCTAATGAATCTGAGATGAAAGATTAAAAGAATGATATAAATTATTAGATAATAAAGAAGAAATATAATTTTTGATTAATGATAATATATTATTAAATAATAATAAATTTAATAATAATTTATTAAATATATATATTCATCCTATTATTGATATTAATGCAAAATAAAATTTGTGTGATTTTTTATTAGAGAATTAGAAAGTTAAAATTTATATTTATATTATCTAAATTTAATTGATTATATTATATTTTTCTATTTATTTATAATTTTAATATCATAATAATAATTAATAATATAAATAAAATCATTTATTTTAATTCAACTTTTTTTTTTATTTAATAATAAAATTTTAATTATATATTATAATATAATTATTTAAAACTTGTTTAAAACTTATACAATTAAAATAAATTTTAGTTTTAAATATATTTTAAAT